AAGAAATTATGGTGTCCATACTAGTAGGGAAATGGAGAGAACTCAAATAATATGAGACTACAACTTGATATTGGCTTCCCAGTGCTCTTTTTATTCTCTAAAGATTCTTAAAATATTTTTTAGCAAAAAGTTCCCAAATGCTACGGAAAATATTTCCCTTTCATCCAAACATTTTGTACTAATGGTAACAGGTCCTCCTGGGACCCCAATTATTTGAATAATGCCAGGGGAAAAGCTATAGAGTCAAGAGGAACACCATAGAGTGTGAGAAAGACAGGGAACAGAGCACAAAGACTCCACTCCCTGGATATCTGTGTAAAAAAGAAAGAAAAGAAAAGCAATAATCCTCCCTGACTACTGGTGCCATTTCAATTAATATAAAAAAAATGAGCTCATCTATTGAATTACTATTTGGAGGTCTCATAGGCCTTCTAAATTGAACTTGTACTAAATTAAGCTCTTTGTCTTCCTCCTAAACCTGCTCTTCCTCCTGTATTTCTTGTCTCAATGAGAAGCACTCCATCTGTACAATCTACCTAAGACTGAAACCTAGGAATCATCCTTAACACTTCTCGTCCTCTGCATCCCAGTAGTCTCCAGGAATTCCTGAATTTACCTCTTAAACACTTTAAAAATTTCTCATACTCTCTGTATCTACTGTCAAACTATCATCATCCCCAACTGGATCAGTACAGCAATCTCACAACTAGTATCTCTGGCTTCTATCTATCCCTGTTTCAACTCATCCTTTCCAAAGCAATCAGGATTATCTTCCTAAATTGTAATCCTGACCACATTACTACAAACTTCTTAGCACAGCATATAGGATCCTTCACAACAAGGACCTTGCTTACATCTTCTACTGCAGATCCTTGTTCTGAACTTTAAGCTCCAGCAATATTACTTCTAGTTTGCTAAACATTATTATTTCACACTTCTAAACTTCTACTTTAACTCCTGTTCATTTCTTAAATTCCTATTTATCTTTTAAAGTTCAGCTCAGAAATAATTTCCTTGATAAAGATTTTCCCATAACACTGACCCATCTCTTGATCAAAGTCAATTTCTTGCTCCCCTAGACAGTCATCGTACCTCTAACTTCCTTCTATTTGGCACTTTTCACACTATATATTATTATTGTTGCTGCTGTCTTCACCTACTTGTTTGTGAATTTCTCAAGATCAAGGTCATTTTTTCATCTTTGCATCTCTAAAGCATAGCAACTGGCATGTAGAAGTTATCAATGTATGTCAGTTGAAATAAGACTGTAAGATTTACTTAGCCATAAGCAGAACTGTGGCCAATTTCCCCCACAGTTTAGGTACTTTGTGACTCATTCATACATATGATAAACATTAAGATATGCTAAATGTCTTATTTTTTGTAAATATTTCTGTGATCCTTTTGGTTGTAGCTTAAAAACATGTGTATCAGTAAATTCTTTATATTAATAAACAAAATAGCCATAAAGTTATTTCTTAACTTTTCTTCCTTAATTCTTTTCTCTCTTCTATTCCTTTCATCCTGACCCACCAACTCAAGCTACCAAATACTTGGTGATCCTTTCTATTCCTTTTCCTGCTTGCAGAGAAAGCAATTTTCTAAAGCTAAAAAGCTCTAAACTGTAGAACTCTATACTATGCTTGTATCTCTCAAAGAGAAAGTCTTGTTTATCTTTACACTCCTAACACCTACTGCCATGCTATTGCATTGCAAATATGCAATAAAATCTTGTTTACCCAACCCAAATATCAACTGGTGGGTAAATAAATAAAAAGTGGTATATGATATATGATTGAATGCTATTTGGCAATAAAAAGAAATGAATTACTTATACATGCTACAACATGGATGAATCTTGACAACATCTTCAATGAAAGAAGCCAGCCAGAAAAGATCACCTACTGTATGACGTCATTTGTATGTAATATCCAGATAGGCAAATTCATAGAGACAGAAAATAGGTTCGTGATTTCCAGAAGCTGGGGAGGTTAAGAAGAAGTGGGCAGTGATTGCTATGGGTACAAGGCTTCTTTTTGGGGTGGTAAAAATATTCTAAAATTGGGCTGAGTGTAGTGGCTCCCACCTACAATCCCAGCACTTTGGGAGGCTGAGGCACAAGGATTGCTTGAGCCCAGGAGTTCAAGACCAGCCTGGGCAACATAGCAAGACCACATCTCTACAAAAAATTTAAAAATTAGGTGGGCATGGTGGTGCACAACTATAGTCCCAGCTACTTGGGAGACTGAGGTGGAAGGAGCACCTGAGCTCAAGAGGCTGAGGCTTCACTGAGCTGTGATCATGCCTCTGCACTCCAGCCTGGACAACAGAGTGAGACCCTGACTCAAAAAAAAAAAAAAATCACAAAATTGGTGCCCACCACATCATCTCTTTAATCTGAATTATCTAAGAAATATTCAGAAATTAACAATGCCCTGTTCCGTAGATTGCTGAGTTATTTTCTCAGCTTATTTGCTATGGTAGGGGTGGCCAACATTTTTTGCTTCCCTGGGCAGCATCGAGTAATCTTTTGGCTTCCCTGGGTCATATAGAGTAAAGAGGAATTGTCTTGGGCTACACATAAATTATATAAAATAGTTAGTGTATATATATAATATGACTTCCTTAATTTTTTCTTATAAAGTTTAGAAAAAGGAGAACAATATAAAACTATTGGGAAATTTGATCTTATTTTTGTAAAACTAATCTATCAATATCTGGCTTGATGGAAGCGGTCACAATTCTCAGTGAGTTCTCAAGATACTCATCAGAAATGTGTGCTCAAATTTTGCTCTTCATGTGCTTCATAACTGAAGATAGCTGCTCACAAATGTATGTGCTGCCAAAAACCAATGTAAGGCATAATTGTGAACTTAAAAAATGGAACTACACATGGGATCATGCATAAAATACACACTAAAAAACACATGATGTTAAAAGATTTTGTGGGGTCGCATGACTAGCTGTCGTAGGCTACATGCAGCCTGCAGACCATAGGTTGGACATGCCAGTGCTATGGTATGCACAATAATGGTCCCCTGAAGATGTACATATCACTGGACGTGATAGCTCATGCCTGTAATCCCAGCACTTTGGGAGGTAGAGGCAAGAGGATTGCCTGAACTCAGGAGTTCAATACTAGCCTGGGCAACTTGGTAAGACCTTGTCTCTACAATAAATCAAAAAACTACCCAGGCATGGTGGCGTTTGCCTGTAGTTCCAGCTACTTGGAAGACTGAGGCGGAAGGATTGCCTGAGTCCAGCAGGTCAAGGCTGTGGTGGGTGTGCACGTGCCACTGCACTCCAGCCTGGGCAACAGAATGAAACTCAACTCAAAAAAAAAAAAAAAGATGTACACATCCATTCCCTGGAACCCATGACTACATAACCTTACATGAAAAAGAGGGCTATGTAGATGTGATTAAATTAAGGATTTTGAAACAGGAGGATTATCTTAGTTTATCTGGATGTGCCCAATGTAATTCCAAGAGTTCTCATAAGTGAAAAGAGGAGGTAGAAGAGTCAGAATCTGAGGTGTGATGACAGAAGCAGTGGCCAGAGTGATGTAATTGCTAACTGGTGCCAAGAGCAAAGCAATGTGGACACCCTCTAGAAGCGAAGGGGCAAGAAAATGGATTCTCCCCCAGAACTTCCAGCCTGCCAACACCTTGATTTCAGCTAAAATCCATTTCATACTTCTAATCTCCAAGAATGTAAGATAATATATTTATTCTATTTTAAGTCACTAGATTTGTGGTAATTTGTTGAAACAGCAAAAAGAAACTAATACACTTGCTCCTACCAATATCATCAATATCAGGCCTGGAGGTATATTCCTCCATTTGTGGAGTTCAGTTGCTTGTTATTGCTCAAGATAGAGTATTGGTTTGGAACAACTATTGTTTCAGAGTAGAAATGCTTTCCCCTTCAGGCTAGGAAGCTCTACAGTTGATCAGTGGAAACTGCAGTTTGATTCAATGGCAAATGGTCAACAGGGCATGATGGCTCACACATATAACCCTGGCATTTTGTGAAGCCAAGGTGGGAGGATCGCTTGAGGCCAGGAGTTTGAGACCAGCTTGGGCAACATAGTGAGATCCTGTTATTACCAAAAAAAAAAAAAATTAACCGGACATGGTGCCACATGCCTATAGTTCCAGCTACTCGGGAAGCTGAGGCAGGAATATCATATCATTTGAGCCCAGGGGTTCAAGGCCAGTGAGCTCTGATAGAGCTACTGCACTCCAACCTGGGCAACAGAGCCAGACCCCGTTTCTTAAAAATACATTTTAAAAACAGTTAATGATCAATACAGGTAAAGAAAACACAGAAACATATGATTCTGTCACTAGGATTTTGAAACATAGATTTCATAATAATACTGTGTGTCAATAGCAACTTCAATTGTGTATAAGTGCTTTTGACATGTTTTCAGGGGAAGCATTAAGAAGGGTACCAAACTGAGAAAGGATATGCAGTTTGCAATAGGGTCTTTCATCTAAGGCTTGGCAATAGTTAGGAAGTACAAAGATAATGTTCCAAAGATAGAGGAGCATAAGGTAGGCAATAATGGAAAAAAGTTCTCATCTAAGATATAACCAGTAATAGAGTGTAGGAATAAGATAGGGAGAAAGATAGTGAGACAAAGAACACCAGATACCAGGAGAGGATATAAAGATCAAATCATTGCCTGGAGCCCCAGTTTCTCTATTTCATTTGTTTGAATTTGATCTTTAGCCTAATACACAGTCTCCAAATTTCCCTAACGTTCTTTTTCCAAATCCAATGTAAAGCTCCTACAACTGAGCTGTAAATCACAATCTGGTAAGAAAGCATCAGATTTCCAACAGATGTGAAAACACACTTCTTATTCACACTAATCATTCTTTCCATTATTTAAGAAGTCTTGAAACACTGGTATCATCAATGTTATATCAGTTTCTACCCTCCCACTGCCAGTTAAGTGTCCAACAACAAAAAAAAATCTCTTCTTTACTTACAACTGCACAGCGTTGCATTTTTGAAGGAATTCCATCTTCTTCTGTTGCCCCATTGGGTCCGGGCATCTCTTTCCTCCTCTTCCTTGCATTGACTTTGGCTGAACATTGTGCATCCATCTTCTTTTAACTGGTCATACAAAGTAAAAAAGAATTTTTTTTCTTACTGGGATGGAAAGAAGTCTGTCACCAGTACTTCAGAGATGTTGACACTGATACACTCAGCAAAACATCAATTCTGTAACACATTTCACCAAGATGAGCCAATGACATCTGGCAAAAACAACAAAGCTTCACAAAACAAAGGATCTAGTAGAAATACTGAAATGCCTCTTTGTAGAACAATGGCCACAATTAATTGCCTGAACTCGAAAGTTATTCTCCTAACAATGGAAGCTATATACTAACTGCTAATTTTATACCCTGACTGCATGCAAAAGACTGGAATAACTTGGCAGAGAAAGATAGCTGTACAGACTTTACCACCACCCTTTATATCATCTCTGTCTGTACTACCTTTTAATGATAACAAATACATTATGCTACTCACAGCTTTCATAGAGCTTACTCTGAAACCTACAGAACATTTAGAGCTAAGAAACCCAGGCTTTGTTAAACCAGGATGTGATGATAGCCACTTTTTTTTTTTTTCCCAAACAAAATTTATTAGAGAAGGAAAAGAAGAGAGATAGAGACACGTGCTAGAGCTGGCATGGGCAAGAGAAACTGCTCCATCCCTTTTTGAAAAAGACTGTTTTTTCTATCTGCACCAAAGTCATACCTCTCACAAAGCCTTGTACCTGTCATACATCCAGGTATCTCAGAGATGATATAAAGGGTAGTACAGACTTTGGTGCAGACAGAGAAAAGAGGCTTTTTTAAAAAGTGGTGGCTAAGGCTAGGCTTGGTGGCTCAGCCTGTAATCCCAGCACTTTGTGAGGGCGAGGCAAGTGGATTGCCTGAGCCTACAGGTTCGAGGCCAGCCTGGGCAACTTGGCGAGGCCTCGTCTCTACAATAAATCAAAAATTAGCTGGGCATGGTAGCATGCACCTGTAGTTCTGGCTACTTGGAAGGCTGAGGTGGAAGGATCGCTGGAGCCCAGTAGGTTGATGCTGGGGTGGCCATGAGCATGCCACTGCACTCCAGCCTGAGCAATGGAGTGAGGCTCCAACTTAAAAAAAAAATTTTAAATAAAAATAAATTTAAAAAACATTTTTAAAGGGGGGGGTGGCTAGCACCAAGTCTTAGTTTAACGAAGTATGGATTTCTTAACTCTAAATGTTCTGTAGATTTCAGGTAAGCGCTATGAAAACTGTGAGTAGCATAATGTATGTTTTAAACATTTAAGTACTCATTTCCCCGTACTCTTTCAGTGTCTTAGCACCTCAAGTTTGTTCATAGTCTCCAGTTATTAAAATCCCATCCAGGCTTCTCCTTCCCTCAAAGGAAAACTTATTTATTACTGTCTCATTTAGCAGAGAACTTCTAGCAACTGGCTATCACAACAAAGTTCTATATCCAATGCTTCATGCTTAGACACTGACTTGTGCTAACTCTCTAACCGCCTACAGAGATGTTTGCATTTTTCTTGGGTAATACAATTTGCACAGGTAAATTACTTTCTTGAAAATGATTAAATTTAGGCATAAGCCAGAAGTTGAGGATAGGAAAATTTCTATAAACAATTGTCACCTCTGCCTAAGTGTATGGTACAGAAGAAAATCCTTAGCTGGAAAACAAACGCCAGACAGAATGAGAACATTCTACTCTGCCTTACTGTCCCTGATAAGCTCTCCTGAATGAGATGTTCATCTACACAACTGTAATTGTGCCTTACTCTCTCTCCTCCAGCTAAATTCCTCATGGCAACATGACAAGATCTACAAGAAACCTGGCCTAATTCTTAGAGACTGAAGGTGACACCCCATGAGTCACGGCTAGGTACTAGGCTGACATGAAAAAATGTCAGAGTCCAAAGTAAAATATGAACACCACCCAAAAACTTCCTTTCATCACAAATGCAAATTAAAATGGAAGAAGGGTAATATACATTTAGTACTAAATTTTTCCAGTGATAATGTTCAGAGCTTTTCTTCACTATTCTTATTAATTACTCTTTTAAAATATCCAGAGATCAGTACTCTCATCTCAGTGGTCTGAGTGGTCTATTAAAAATGTCTAATCAGTCCTATTAATGACAGTTTCTAATTTGCATAATACAAACCTCTGCTGTAAGTATTTGCTCAATTGTTCTCAGGGTAGAAAGATAAAATTCACGATGAAAAGTATAATCAGATAGTTGGCATCAGGCAAATCAATAATATCAGTCAATAATATGAGTACTTACTGTGCACAAAGTACTGTGTCACAATTCCTAAAGTACAAACTGAACCTGGAGAACATTATGTTAAGTAAAATAAGCCAGGCACAGAAACACAAATACCACAAATGACTTATGTGTAAAATACCACAAATTCACTTGTTTGTAGCATCTAAAAGAGCAAATCTCATAGAAGTAGAGAGTAGAATGGTGGTAACCAGAGGTTGAAGGAGGGAGGTGAAGGAGAAAAGGAAAGATGTCGATCAAAGACTACAAAACTCCAGTTAGAAAGCAGGAATAAGTTTTAGTGATCTATTGCACAGAATAGCAACTATAATAAATAACAATGAATTGTATATTTCACAATTGCTAAAAGAGCAGACTTCAAATGTTTTCAACAAAAAATGATAAGTATATAAGATGATGGATATATATATATAATGTAAATATGTATCAAAGCATCACATTGTACCTCATAATATATATAATTATTACTTATCAGTTAAAAAATAAGATACAAGCTATTTTCCCAAGGAGTTTTCAGTCAAGGCAAGGAAAACACAAGCAGAATTCCACCTTTAAAATGTTTATGATATAAAAATGTTCTTCAGGACTCTAAAACCATTGGGCAAAAGTTTGCTGAGGAACAGGATGCTTACAGTTTCAAAGCATCATCCATAGATTACTTACTAATTACAAAGGAGAAAGAATTACCTTGACAGCAGAAAAATCTCTTAGCAAAATTACCAATAGTGCTTCTTGATGAGAGGTACTGAGGACACAACATTATCTGCCAAAAATGTGTAACCTGCATCAATTTATGAGGAAGCAAGCAGACAAACCCTAATTTAAGGGCATTCTACAAGTCTGTATACTTCAAAAAAATGTCAATCATGAACAACAAGTAAAGGGTGAAAGACTGTTCCAGGTTAAAAGAGACTAAAGAGGGGCCAGGCATAGTGGTTCATCCCAACACTTGGGAGGCTGAGGCAGGAGGATTGCTTGAGGCTAGGAGTTTGAGATTAGCCCTGCAACTTAGCAGGACCCTGTCTCTACAAAAATAAAATAAAAAATAAAAATTAGTTGAGTATGATGGTATGCCCCGGTAGTTCCAGCTACTCAGGACCCTGAGGTAGGAGGATTGCTTGAGTCCAGGAGTTCGAGGCTACAGTAAGCTATGACTGTGCCACTGCACTCTAGTCTGGGCTATGGAGAGAGACTGTTCATAGATCTAAAAAAAGAAAGAGAGAGAGAGAGAGAGAGAGAAAGAGAGAAAGAGAGAAAGAAAGAAAGAAAGAAAGAGAAAGAAAGAAAGAAAGAAAGAAAGAAAGAAAGAAAGAAAGAAAGAAAGAAAGAAAGAAAGAAAGAAATCAAGTAGTTGATAGTTATTAGGACATCAGCAAAATTTGAATATGAACTGCAATTCAGATAATATGCACTGATGTTAAATTTTCTGAATTATTATCCTTTACCATCACCTTTTATATCACCTCTGCCTGCACTACCCTTTAATGATAAAAAATACATTATGCTACTCACAGTTTTCATAGAGCTTACCCTGAAATTTAGAACATTTAGAGTTAAGAAATCTATGCTTTGTTAAACCAAGATGTGGCGATAGCCTATTCCTTTTTTAAAAGACTCTTTTTTCTGCCTGCACCAAAATCATACCTTTCACAGTGCTTTGCTCCTGTCATACCTCCAGGTGTCCTAGAGATGATATAAAGGGTCGTGCAGACTTTGGTGCAGACAGAGAAAATATGTTGTAGATACAAGCTGTAGTATCTAGGGAAGAAAGGTCATGAGCTCTGCAACTCACTCTCAGCAAAAAAATAAAAAGAAGAATATGGATACCACAAAAGTTATTTTTAAAAATGTAACACAAATATGGCAAAATGTTATTAATGGATGAATCTAGGTGGGGCATAAGGGAGCTCATTTTAATATTCTTGCAACTTTTCTATCAAACTTATTTTTTAAACTTGTTTTACAAAATACAAATTTTAATTTAAAAAATACTCTGTAACAACTTCCTGCATAAATATGCCTTCATATAAGATTCTTTTGGGGGGTCTCTAAATACAGATTCCTTCATTTTCCTAACTCTTTAAGTCAGTGTCCATGCTTCATACATTCCAAGAATTATGTTTTCATGTTCTGAGTCTTGCAAGAAAGTAGGTAATAATAGCAACAGTCAAAACAATAGCTATCCTTTTTTTTTTTTAAATATTTACTATGTGCTGGGCACTGTGCTAGGTACTTTATACATTATTCTCATTTAACACTTCTAACCTGAGAAGCAAGTATTCTTAGCCCAATTTACAAATGAAAAAACTAAGGATCAGGGAGGTTAAGCAATCTACCCAAGAGATCACACAGCTAGTAAGTGGAAAAGCCAAGATATGGATCCAGACATGTCTAATTTTAAAGGCCTTACCACTATACTTTGCTATCTCCCAAGGATCCAGTATTTACTTATTTATTTATCTATTTATTTATATTTTAGAATTGTGGGGTATATGTGAGGATTTAGTATTTTTAAAAAGAAGCTGTCTCATCATCATTCCTACTGCTTCCTTCTATCAAGAACATTCTCAGCCGGGCTCGGTGGCTCAGCCTGTAATCCCGCGCCTTTGGGAGGCTGAGGTGAATGGATTGCCTGAGCCCGTGGGTTCGAGACCCGCCTGAGCAGCGAGACCTCATCTCTACAATAAATCAAAAAATCAGCTGGGCGTGGTTGCGCGCGCCTGTAATTCCGGCTACTTGGAAGGCTGAGGCGGAAGGATCGCCAGAGCCCAGCAGGTCGAGGCTGCGGTGGCCGGGAGCAGCCACTGCACTCCAGTCTGGGCGACAGAGTGAGACTCCAACTCAAAAAAAAAAAAAAAAAAAAAGAACATTCTCTCTATAGCACAAGCTTTTTAAGTTTTTGCAGACTTAAGCCAAGTTAGCCAAACTGAGTGGAATAAAAGGTCACAATTTCTTAATGGTAAAAAGGTCCTAGGATTAATCAAATAAAACTGACATGAATATTAGCCTGAATCAGAGGCTGCCAATCAGGCCGTTGTACAGACATGCAGATCTTGCACAGATGTACAGATCTTTCCTACTAAATGACTTTGCTAGAATTTCCTGATAAGCTTTCAACTTAAGCAATAAAGAATTATTTTACTTCTGACATTACAAATAGGCAGCCTTTTAAAGTCACCCGAACTTTTCATTCATGATACAAAATATTCTAAAGAGTGCCATGATAAACCAAGGAGATAAATGTCATATTTTCATCAGTTATTTCCCACAACTTCAAGTTAAAATCCCTTAATGCTTAATAGAGAAACACTTAACTTATCTAAAAATATGTTTATAGGAATTTCTCATAAGTCTTTGCCCTGTGTGTGTGGACATGTGTGTTATATTTTTCCAGCTTTATTGAGTTATAATTGACCTATAATAAATGCATTTAACGAGTCTTAACATATTTATACACCTGTGAATTCATCAAAATTAAGATAACATATCTATCACCCTCAAGTTTCCTCATGCCACTTTGTAATCCATCTCTCTCTCTCTATTCCAACTTTGCCTTGCTTTTTTTTGTAATATTGTGGCAAGATATACAAAAAAATTTGCTTTACTTTTTAACTGCTTATTTCTTAAATTACCAAATCATCTAGTCATAAGACTCAACTTTATCAGCCAAACACACAGTGAATATCACCATATTAGAAAGAAGCAAAAGCTCTTTTTTCTAAGAGTTAAAATACTGCCAGTGTGGTTGTCAAAGATATTTTAAAGCAAGGTGATACCTGGGGGTCTCTAGATCTTGTGACACTGGATATATTCCACTAGATTAAAAAAATCATAAACAAAAAATAATTCAAAATATTTTTTCAAATATCACAATGGGATTTGGGGCAAGAGAAATAAGTTGTCTGACTAGTCATTTAAAGCTAAAGCAAAATTCACAAACATAGAAAGAATCAAGGCAGCAATTATT